AAGGACAACCAAGGGCGCGGGGCAGGGGAGGTGAGGACTGGGGTCCTGGGCAGGGAGGAAGTGCCAGGTGCGGGGCCTGGGACTGGGGCTGAAGGACCCCTCCTGTCAGCGGCCAGGTCTGGCTGCATGGACAGCACAGGCTCAGGGAGGGGTGTTTGCTGCTTCATTTATGGACAGAATCTGTTCTCGTTGCCTTTCAGTCCTGAGTCCCACTCCTTGTGGTGCCCGTATCCACAGGTCTGTGCACCTGTCCCCAAGAGGAGAACATGTCCCCACTGTCCCGTGGCCCCAGGAACAAGCAGCCCTGTGGGCCCTGGACCATTCTTCCCTTCATCTCTTCCTTCCTTTGTTCATTTACACAAGGATTATTTCTTTTGTAAAAAACAAACAAACAAAAAAAACAAACAAATTTTTTTAAAATCCTCACCGGAGAATATTTTTCCATTTATCTTCAGACAAAGTGTGAGGGAGGGAGGGAGGGAGGGAGGGAGGGAGAGAGAGAGAGAGAGAGAGAGAGAGAGAGAGAGAGAGAGAAACATCAGTGTGAGAGAGACACATCAAGTGGTTGCCTCCCACATGACTCTGACCAGGGCTGGGGGCCAAACTGCAACCAAGGTACGTGCCCTTGACCAGAATCGAACCCAAGACTCTGGTCCGTGGGCTGATGCTCCAACCACTGCAAAACTAGCCAGGGCTAAATGTTTATTTTTAAAGAAAATTGTAGGTATTTAAGTGTACAACATGATGTTTATATATAGGGATAGGGAAATGATTAGTACAATAAGCTAATCAACATATCCATCACCTCATATATTTACCTTCTTTTGAGATGTTGGTCAGAGGGGACAATGTTGCAGTTATGCAGGACGAATAAGGGTAGAGAGCTAAGATCCAGCATGATGACTATTTAGTTAAGGATAATAATTTATTGAGTCCTGGAGATTTGCTAGGAGAGTCCATTTCAGGTGCTCTTGCTACAATAGATATTTTTTGCCATTTCTGCTATGAGCCAGGCCCCATGGTGGGCAATGGGGACACTAGTCAATGAGACTAACATGTCCATGTCCTCATGGAGCCCAAAAAACTAAATAAATAGCTATATAGTTCTTACACACTAACTAATCACCCTGTCATTACAAATTGTGACAGGCACTGCTGTGAAGCAGAAATGCAGGGTACTGTGGAGGAGAATAACTCAGGCCACTCAATTGAGATTGGAGTGATCAGGGAAGGCCTCTCAGAGGAGGTGGCATTTTGGCTGGAATCTGAAGGATGAAGAGGAGATTGCTGGCTTAAGAATGGGAAGAAAGTGAGTGTGTAAAGGCCTCGGGGAGCTCAGTTTTTGTTTTGTTTTGCTTTCAGAAATGAAAGAAGCCATTGTAACAGAATCAGTGAGTGACTGGGAAGAGAGGTGGGATGATGGGACGAGGTGGGGTGAGGAGAGGCAGGGACTTGCAGAACCTTGGAGGCCACATTGCCGGAAGGGAGCTGGGTGGGAAAGGAAGTGAGATGGGAAGGCAGGAGGGTACCCCATGAACACGTCTGTGCACATCACATGGCCTGGAGGCAGCAGCTGAGCCCCAGGGCACCCTGGCAGGTGTCGATGGCCCAAGGTCCACCTCCAGGGGCAGGTACCTCTGTCTTGCTGTCCCCATTCCCCCAAAGCAGGAGCAGGAACCACACTAGTGGTTGCACCGACCAGCTCGAGGTCAGGCAGTCTGCTCTGTGCGGCAGGGAGGGTCAGGTTGCAAAGAAAACCCGAGCTTGTCAGTGGTGATTTCTCCCAGCCGAGGCAGCCACCATCAGCTTCCTGCCGAGATGCGCCTGTTCGGCCTCCCTCACTGCAGCTGGAGACGGAGGGGAGCAGATGGCCCTGCTTGGCCCAGATTCCAGCCAGATTGCCAGGGAGGTGTGGGCAGAGCAATGCGGTTGGTGCCAGGAGTGGGACTACACAGGAGGAGGGCGGGAACCACCTCTTTGCCATCCCCCGTGGGTCTCGTCTGTATGGGGGTGGGGTGGAGACATCGACTGTGGCCTCACTGTGGTCCTTGAACCGCCAGCTGCTTGGGTTCCCTGGAGAGAGATGGCCTCTGTCTTTTACAAGCACGTTGAGATCTCCTGAGAGATAGAAGATGTCAGTGGCTGTATTCCCAGCTCCCAGCACAGGGCGGGGCCAGGCAGGAGCTCAGTGGTTGTGTTTTATGTTTATTTCTAAGAGAAATGATAGTAGTAGCTCTCAGATGTTGTCTTACTTAATATTTACGGCAGCCCCACAAAGGAGGTGACCCCATTTTCCTGATGAGGACCCTGAGGCACAGAGCGGAGGCATAACGTGCCTGAAGCCACAGCTAAACAAACGTGCGAGAGCAGATGGGTCCCTGACAAATTGATGGCCAAGCCCGGGCCTTGGGGCGTGGGGGACAGGGAGCAGACCCGAGTGTGGACCATGAGAAGTGGTGGGTGAGCCTGGCTGGGGGGCACCGCATGCCCCCTCTTTGTGTTCCCTGAGCCTCAGTCGACCCCTTAGGCCCTACCAAGGCAGCGTCCACCATTGTGTAAGGTGCCCCGGGAGCAAGAGATGAGCCTGGAGAGGGGCCCGCGAGGTGTGGCTGAGCAGGCTGCCACCAACACTCCAGAGGAAGCCATTCACGGGATGACTGCATAATTCCCCTGGAGTTACGCCAGGGGACAGCCCTGTAGGCAGGACCACAGCGTGCAGGACCTGGAAGACCAGGGTCTGCAAACCTGGTCTGTCAAGGGCCAGAGAGAAAATATTCTAGGCTGTGTGGGCTGCAGGTCTCCGTAGCTCCTCAACTCTGCTGTTGCGGGGTGAAGGCAGCCACAGGGGGCACGTAGGCGAACGTGTTCCGGTAAAACAGTTTACAGAATCAGGCTGCACGCCAGCCGCGGTGCGTGGAGCATCCTTTGGCGGCCCCAGTGGAGGCCGCAGAAGGTCTCTGAACTTCCTTCTAAGAGCAACATGGAGCCGCAAGAGGGCTTTGAGCAGAGAGTGAGAGGAAGCCAATTTTCATGGAATATGGCCCTGGAAGATCTGGCTGTGCCCTCCCCCAGGGCAGTGTTTCTTCTGTCCTGTTTCTGGATCCCTGAGCCCTTCTGTCTGCAAGAAGAGGCTGGGAACTGAGGGCCTCTCATGCTTAAGAAGGAGAGGTCACTGCTGTCTGTTCTGCGGTCACCCGCCTCCCCACGCCAGCTCTCAGCACGGGTCTGGCCACTCAGCAGGGCCCCAGCAATGCGGGTTCCCATTCCTGGCCTCAGGGGCGCAGGGTAGAGCAACTCTGTGCTCATCAGCCTGGCTTTGAAATCATAGGGTCTGATTTCCTCCACTTGGCCACGTGTGACTGTGAGCTGACCCTCTGTCTCCTCCTCTTCATAAGGGGAATAATTACAGACACGAATCCATGGAAGAGTGGTTCTGCATTGACCTGGGAAGGGCTCAGTGAGAAGACACTGTTGATAGAATAATCATTTTTCTTGCTAAACCCCAGAGGCAGGAGAGCCTGGTCATGCCCTGGGTGGGGAGGTCTTTGCTCCAGGAGCTGTGTTCAGAGCCACGCTCCAAGCTAGAGCAGAAGTAGAACCACTGAGGGGACCTTGGCCCCCGAGTAGTAAGGGCTCCTTAGAGATGAAGTGAGTAGTCCCACCTCTTGGACTGAAAATAACTGCCTGACGTTGGAGTAATTACATGTCTTGGGCTCCCACACAGCATGGAGAACACCCCAATAATTGCTGTATACACAGGCTGCTTTTGGCAGCTGAACCTTAATTTCTGCCTTAACGGTCTCCTGGATGGGAAGCCTGGTCCATCCCCTACCCCCATGGGACATGAAGCTTTGCTTCATGTGAATAGAATCTCCCTGGACAGGGACACAATGACCACTTCTACTCTCCAAAGGCCATCGCCAGGCCCGGAACATCCTCCCTGGCCCATGAACAGGCTGGGTCTGGTGATCAGTGGCTTTACCATAGTCTCCTCTCATGACCCTCAGGCTGGGACCAGCTACCAGGTCATCCACAACTCTGCAGGAGAGACCCACGGGCCATGCTGCTGATTCCAGACACAAGCCATCTGGGGTCAGCACCGGAAGGTGGCCTGCTTGGCTCAGAGATGGAGAGGCTGTGTGCTTGGACAGAGCTAGGGGGCTGCTGATTCGGTCAGGGTCCTGGAAGGGTTGTGGAGGATTTACTGTGTGCCAGGCCTCAGGGAAAGAGCAGTAAATGCTGTCACTGTCCTGCCCTCTTGGGGCTTAGTGCCCTATGGCAGACAGACCCAAAGCCCGTAATTACCCAAATAGTTATGTGATTGTAGTTGTGATAAGGCTATACGTGAAATGCATAGGGGTGGTGGGTGTATATAACTGGGGGGATGCCCTCGTCTTGGAGTTTGAGTTGAGACCCAGAGGATGAGTGAGGTAGTGAGGTAGATGTGCGTGTGTGTGCATGTGTGTGTGTGCATGTGTGTGTGTGCATGCGCGTGTGTGTGCATGCACATGCACATGCTAAAAATGGAAGCATGGATGGCAGATGGGTGGATGAATGGAGGATGATTGAGTTCTTCCAGGCAGAGGGAACAGGCTCTGCAAAAGCTCAGAGGCCAGAGGAAGCGTGGTGACCCTAGCTGACAAAAGACCATTGTGGAATGTGTTTAGGGTTTGAGAAGAGACTGGAGAGGTGGGTAGGTAGGTGCCAGTCTTACAGACCAGGGTGTGAGTGGTGCCCACTGGGACTGTGCAGGGTGGATGGAACATGCAGGCAGGGATAAACCCCATGCAAGGGTTTTGACTGTTCCTAGAGCAGTGGGAAGCCATAGAAGGACTTTAGCAGTTGGTGATGGGACCAATGTCCATTTATAGTGCCCCAAGGCAGTACAAACAAACAAGACCCTTTGTGTCAGGACCTGGGGAGAGTGCGTCTGCCTGGGCCCCCTGCATGCCTGCACACCCAGTGTGACGGGACGCTCACTCCTGTCCCCTCTGTTGCAGTGCGCTACTTCCTGAAGAACAAGGTCAGCCCTGATTTGTGCAACGAGGATGGACTCACAGCCCTGCACCAGGTAAGGCCGGGCTGGCAGGGGTCCCTGGCTCCCTGCTCCCCACCTGGACAGGTGCCCCATCTCCCTGCTTTTTCCTGCCCAGAAGCCTCAGGGGGGAGGAAGGGAGGGAGGGGGAGCTGCAGCTGCCCCATTTGAAAGGCCCTTGTGTGCTTCGGAGACGTGTGTGCCTGTTACAAACACGCCCACAGAGCCCCTGTGCACGCTCACGCGGTGTACACACAGCCTCTGAGGACAGGGAGCCTTTGTCCACTGCACCCTCCCTTCCTAGCAAAGGGTTTGGCAAGCACAGCAAATCTGTTTGCAGCTCGACTGTTTACGAAGCACGCTTGCTCACACCCACCATGGCATGCCCCCATCCTGCCGACAAAGGTGACTGACAGGGGTGATGCGACCTGTAAGGTGGCTTGGTCATGAGCTATCACCATGAACCATATGTTGTCACAACAAACGACCTTTCTAGGGAAGTGTGTTGGGTCCAGCCCCCTGGCTGGGGAAGGGCTGCTGGCTGTCACCTCCCGCCTGGATGCTGCCTCAGCCTCCTAACAGGTCCCCAGCGTCTAGCTGCCCTGCCGTGATTCATTCCCCACGCTCAGGCCATAGGGACGCTCAAGCCCAGCATCTACTGGCGTTACTCCAAGCGCTGTGGTGTCTTCCTGTAAGGCCCCCGAGCGGCCTGGCCCCCTGAGCTCCAGCCGTACAGCTGTTTGGTTCTTTGCACACACTCTGCTGATCCCTGCCACCCTTTCCCTCATGCGCTGGTTATCCCCAAGGGTTATGCTCTTATACACATGTCCTTTTCTCCTGGGCACCCCTTTGGCTGGTCGTTTTAGCCATTACTGTGATCGTTTGGTTTGGTCCCTGCACCCAGACTCCGAGCCGCACCAGGGTAGAGCCCAGGTCTCTTGCTCATTGGTGGACCCCAGCGCCTCCCCAGGCTGGCATGCAGTAGGTGCTCCATCTGTGCACGCCAGTATAATGTCACACGGAGCCTTCCTGTGCCGTGGCCCAGCTTTGAGCAGGTGGGAGGCCAGGCTGCCGGAGCCGGGTTGGTGAGAGTTTCTCCATCTCCCTGCGAGGGCAGGAAGAGGTGAACAGACACCAGCCGCTGCCCTGCCCGTAAGCCCCAGGGCAAGTCCCACCCTCAGCCTTCAGCCCCGTGACTTCCTGTGTGTCCTCCACGCTTCTCCTCCTGCCCCTTCAGGGGCCTCACTTTCCTCATCTGTGAAAGACGAATAACCAGTAACGCATCCCACTGGGTTGCTATGAGGATTAAATGAATTCACACAGAAACCCTGCGAACACCACTTGATACTGGATAAATAGTAGCAATCGTTACTATTAAAATCTGTCACCTGTTCGTTTTAAGGGCAACTTCACTCATGTGAAGTGTGGGCCGATTCTCACAACAGCCCTCTGAACTCTTACCCCCATTTTACAGCTCGGGGAACTGAGGCTCAGGCCCAGCACTGTGTAACAGAACTTCCTGTGACGATGGAATGTTCTGCGCGTCTGCAGTGTCTAGTGTGGTGTCCAGTGGCTGTCGAGTCCTCAAAATGTTCTGAGGAGGAAACCAGGCCAGGCATGGCCGAGGGCTAGCAAGGCGCATGGCCCTGGTAACTCCTTTTATTGATGAGGGGGCGTGTTTTTATCACTGCCGTTGCTGGGGCTGTGGTCATTGCTGTCTTTATTGTCACTGTTGCTCCAGTGCCACAAGGAGCACATGAAGCGCTTCCTGTGCCTGCCCAGCAGCGGGCATTTGCACAGGCAGCCTGCCTGGCTTGACCAGGAAACCCGGCCGTGGAGGATGTATGGAGGGGAGCGGCAGGGAGAGGTGATGACGCCTCAGCCAGGGCAGTGGGGGTGGGGCAGCAAGGAAGAGATGGGATCCACACCCTGAGATAGCTTGGACGTGGAAAGGGAGGGGGCAGAGTGGTCGTCCAGCTGCCAGGTGCCATGTCCCACCTTGGGGAATGCAGGAGGGGAGGCCTGCCCACTCCAGCATGCACCCCACCCCCTTGCACCTCTCTGCCCAGTCCCCACCTCAGCCCTTGCTCAGCCCAGGCCTCCCAGGTGCAGGCTGCTCCAGACTCTGGGTATCCCTGTCACAAGACTGCAATTCTGGGTGCAGTTCTCTCTCCCCCTTCAACCTGAGGCTCCCTCCCCCCAAACTCATGTTTTCTGAAGCCCCCAAGTGTAAGATCTCTGGCCCTCCTATCTCCTGACTACAGGGGCTGGGCTGCTTTCCTTGCTAGGCACTGGGGCTCCTCTGACTCTTCTCTGGGTGACAACCTGGGGCGCCTCGCCTTTCCTCTCCGCCTCACTCTGGCGCCTCTGGCGCCCTCTGCGGGCCGCGCCACGCCACTGCATGCTTCTCCCCACCACCCGAGGCAGCGCCCTGCCTCACTGGGTCACCGCTGTGGGGACACAGCCAACCCCAGACTGGTGAGTGCAAGAAGAGAACCTGGGCCTCTTGCACTATCTGTGCAAGCGACTGTCCTTCCCCACATGTTCTGGTGCTGAGCCCTGGTTCCACTGGGGTAGGGGTGGGGGCTGTGGTGCTGCCCCGTCCCCGTCCCCATCCCCATCCCCACACACACCAGGGGCATGGCTGCCACCAGTGCCCCTCTCCATCTGCTGGCATCCAGTTACTGCTCCCCATGCCTACTGTCACTCCTGTAGGCCAGGCCACCATCATCTCTTATCTGGGCGATGTCAGTATAGCTCCCAACCATCCCTCTTCTTCTCCAAGAAGCTGCACTTGCAATCTGTTCTCCACATGCAACCAGAGGAGGGATTTAAAATAAAGTCTGGTTGTGCTGTACCTCCAGATATAACTGCACTATGTCTCCCACTGCACTGAAGGCCAAGCCCTGGCTGGATGGGCAGCACCGAGCACTGTGCCCCGCCGACTCTCCTCCTGCAGCCTGTCTTCCTGCCCTGTCCTCTCCTCTCCCCGCCCATCGCCCTGGCTTGAGGCCTCTCTGTCCCCTTGGAATCTTTCACTCTCTGTCCCTGGAGTCAGCGGCTCCAGTGACTGTTGGAGCCCTGAGTCTATCTGGGGGGCTGCAGGCTCCCGACCTTCTCTCTCTGTGAGGCTGACCCCCGTGTGGACAGGCAGGAGCACAAACGTGGCTGCCTCCTTGCAAGGACTGTCTCAAGACTCCCCCTCCCCACCCCACACAGCCTTCACACAGAACTAGGTTCTTCAGGGGGAGGTTTGGTCACTTGGGGCTTCCCCAAGAACTGAGCTCCTGAGTCAGAAATTCCTAAGTCAGAGGTTTCAAACTTTGATTGATCTAGGGCCACACCTTGGAGGCCACTGGTAGGTAGGGGAACCCCTCTAGTTCCCAGCTTTCTCCCTCCCCAGAATCGACCGAGCAGCCCTGCCTGAATCTATTGGTTATCTAAGTTAGCGTTCTCCATCCAATTTTGTTTGAAGAAAGCCTTCTGGAATTAAAAGAAAAAGGTTTTAAGTCCTCCTTCAAAACTTTGTCTCATTTCACCAACACTTTCAAAGCTTTTTATAGCTGACTTCATAGAAATATTATCTTTATACTTTTATCCTGTATATTATTAACTTATAAGGAAACAGGCTCAGAGAAGTTAAGTGGCTTGCCCAAGGTCACACAGCATATAAATACTGGAACTGGATTCAATCTCAGGCTTCAGTGTCCTTGTGGCCTCTCGAGGGGAACTTGGTGTGTCCCCCCTGGGGCCCGGGGCCTTGCCTGGAGCTGACCCTGCCTGTGTCCCCCTCACAGTGTTGCATCGACAACTTTGAAGAGATTGTCAAGCTGCTCCTTTCCCACGGTGCCAACGTGAACGCCAAGGACAACGAGCTGTGGACACCCCTGCATGCCGCGGCCACGTGTGGCCACATCAACCTGGTGAAAATCCTCGTTCAGTAGTACGTACCCTTCTCTTCCTCAAGAAGAGCCTCCCTTCTGCCTTTGGTTTTTTTTACATTTCTCTTTTTTCATCTCTTTCTTTTTTCTCTCTCCACCCCTTTCTCCTTCTCCTCACATCCTGCCTTTATCTCTGCTTCTTTTTCTTTGTTTCCACCTCTCTCCTCCTCCTCCCTCAATTCCCCTTTTTTCTCTTCATCTCTGTGTGCCTTTATCTTTTTTATTTTTTTATTTTAAAGAGAGAGAAAGGAAAAGAGAGAGAAACATTGATGAGAGAGAACATCGATTGACCGCCTCCTGCATGCCCCCTGCTGGGGATTTGGCCCACAACCTGGGCATGTGCCCTGACCAGGAATTAAACTGGTGACCTCTTGGTGCATGGGTCGATGCTCAACTACTGAGCTACACCCACCTGGCAGGTATTTTTTTCTCTAGATCTCTGTCTCTCTTTCACTCCTAGTCTCGCTCTGTCTTTTCCACTCTGTCTCTCTTCATTATCTCTCTCTCCTTACGTTCTCTTCCCCTTCCCCAAGTTTTCTTGCAGTAAAAATACACATGATATAAAATGAATCTTCTTAACCATTTTTAAGTGTACGGTTTAGTGGTAGTAAGTACACTTACATTCTTGTGCAACCATCACCATCCATTTCTGGAACCCGTCTTCCCTAACTGAAACTCCACCCCCATGAACAACAACTCTCCATCTCCCTTCCCCTCTCCCTGGGAGCCACCATTCTACTTTCTGTCCCCATGATTCTGACTACTCTCGGTACCTCGTCCAGTGGAATTATGTCGTATTTGTCTTTCTGTGACTGGTCTTATTTCACTTAGCATAATGTCCTCAAGGTTCATTGGGTTGTAGCATATATCAGGATTTCTTTTCTTCTTAAGGCTGAATAATAATTCATTGTATATGTATATACCACATTTTGCTTATCCATTCATCTTCCCATGGACACTTTGGTGGCTTCTGTGTTTGTAGCTGTTGTGAATCATGCTGCTGTGAACATGTCTCAAGACCCTGCTTTCAGTTCTTTGGGGTCTACACCCAGAAGTGGGATGGCTGGATCGTAGGTACTTTTTTTCACAGTAGCTGTGCCATTTTACATTCCCACGAACAGTGCACATAAGTTCCAGTGTCTTCACATCCTCCCCAACACTTACTTTCTGGTTGTTGTTTGTTTTGTTTTTATCATAGCCATCCTAATGGGTGTGAGGTGGTCTCTTATTGCAGTTTTTTTTTTTATCTTCACCCAAGGACACTTTTGCATTCATCTTCAGATAGAGTGGGAGGGAGAGAGGGAGGGAGAGAGAGAAACATCGATGTGTGAGAGACACATTGACTGGTTGCCACCCACATGACCCCAACTGGGGCCAGGGACAAATTGCAACTGAGGTACGTGCCCTTAGTGGGAATGGAACCCGGGACTCTCTGGTCCACGGGCTGACGCTCTAACTGCTGAGCCAAACTGGCCAGGGCTCTTATTGTAGTTTGATTTGCATTTCCCTAATGATTAATGATTTTGAGCATCTTTTCATGTGCTTATTGGCCATTTGTATATCTTTAGAGAAACATTTATTCAAGTCCTTTGCCGATTTTTTAATTGTGTTGTTTGCTTGATGCTATTGAATTTTATTTCTCTATATATTCTGGATATTAATCCCTAATGACTTGCAAATATTTTCTCCCATTCTGTGGGTTGTCCTTTTACTCTGTTGATAGTGTCTTTGGGTGCACCAAATTTTAAAATTTTCATGGAGCCCCTTTGTCTATATTTTTCTTTCGTCGCCTGTGCCTTTAGTGTTATAGCTGAGAAATCATCACCAAATCCAATGTCATAAAGCTTTTGCCCCATGTTCCTAAGAGTTTTAGTATTTTAGGTCTTGCATTAAGATCTTCCTCCATTTTTGAGTTAATTTCTTTTATTGTGTTAGGTAAGGGTTCAACTTCATTCTTTAGCACCATATCCAGTTTTTTTCCAGTAACATTTACTGAAGAGACTTTCCTTGCCCAAGGCCTTGGGGAATGGCCTTGGCGTCCTTGACAAAAACCCTTCATCATGTATGTGAGGGCTCTCTATTCCTTCTGAGCTCTGTCTTCTATTCCTTTGGTCCGTAGGCCTATATGTCAGTGCCATGCTGTTCTGATTACTGCAGCTTTGCATTAAGTTTTGAAATCAGAAAGTGTCAATTCTCCATATTTGTTCTTCTTTATTAAGGTTGTTTTGGCTATTGGGATCTTTGAGAGTCCACGTATATTTTAGGATGTCTTTTTCTGTTTCTGCAATATATATATATATTATTTATTGGGATTTTGATGGAAATTGCATGGAATCTGTAGAGTGCTTTGGATAGTATTAACGTCTTAACAATATTAAGTCTTCACTTCATGACATTTATTTATGTCTTCTTAAATCACTTTCAGCATTGCTTTGTAGTTTTTACTGTACACGTCTTTCACTCCATTGATGAAGCTTAATTCCTAAGTACTTTGTTGTAAATGAAATTATTTTTTTAACTTTCTTTGCAGGTTATTCATTGTTAATATATAGAAATGCAACTTGTGTTTGTATTGACTTTGTATCCTGCCACTTTGCTGAATTCATTTATTAGTCCTAACTTGTTGTGTGTGAAATCTTTAGGGCTTTCAAATAATTTTACTTCTGTTCCAATTCAGATGCCTTTTATTTCTTTTGTTCCTCTTATTTATTGTTTGTGCCTGATTTATCTGGCTTGAACTTTCAGTGTTGTGTTGAAAAGAGTGGTGAAAGCAGACATCCTTGCCTTGTTTCTGATCTTAGAGGAAAAGCTTCCAGTCTCTCTCCATTAAGTTTGATGTTTGCTGGGAGTTTTTTATATATGGCTTTTATTATGTTGAGGTAGTTTTCTCTTATTCCTGGTTTGTTGAATGTTTTTTTTTTTATCATGAAAGGATGTTGAATTTCTGTGTCAATTGAAATAATCATGTGGTTTTTATCCCCTCTTATTCTGTAATGTAGTGTATCATATCAATCAATTTTTGTATATTGAACCATCCTTGAATTACAAGAATAAATCCCATTTAGTCATGGTGTATAATCCTTTTAATATTCTGTTGAATTTGGTTTGCTAGTATTTTGTTGAGAAATTTCACATGTGTTCATAGGGTTATTGATCTGTGGTTTTCTTTTCTTGTAGTGTCTTTCTCTGGCTTTGGTATCAGGATATTATTTTCTTTCTTAAAATATCTTTTTCTCTGTCTCCAAGAATGCATGAGTCTATATTCTTTTCCTCCACTCATTTTATGTGTTGTTTCCCTTTTTGTTTTTCTTGCTATCCAAAAAACAAGCATACTTCCTTGGCTCCGCCCCCCTCCCCAATCCTGTTGCTTCGGGGGCTTTGGACAGCAGTGTCTTTCCCATGAATAAGGCCACATCTCTCTCTACTGCTCTGCTGCTCTTTTATCTCCCTGAAATTCTTTCTAGTCTGCAGAAGTTCTATAATCACACACAAAAAGGCAACATTTAATTTCAAGTGCATTCAATTGAATTCATCAATAATTGGTGGGCACTTGAGCTGGATCAGGCCTTGTGCGCCCAGATGCAAAAGTTTTAAGGAAGCAGACAGGAAATCAAGTGATTTCAGTACCAGAGCCAAGATGAGTGAGACCAGTGGGTTGGAGCCCCAGGAGGCCAATGCGAGCACCTGAGTGCAGGGAGTCGGGACGAGTGGCTCAGCAGGCGACCTTATGCAGAGGTCAGGGCAGAGCAGCAGGGGCCCACTGAGTGACTCCTAGGGGGATGACGATGACGCACTGCTGCCCTGGCTCAGGGAGGAGGATTCGCTTGCCCAAGTGCACACGGGAGTTCAGAGAGGTCACAGTGGAGGCTTGCGAGGCCAAAGGACTGGCTAGTGGCCTATGCCCGCACCTCTGATGAGAACCCGGGAGTGGCTAGGTCTGACTGGAGCATGAACTGGCCACAGCCCGATCAGTGATGGTGCAAGAAGAAAGGGAGTGGTGGCTGCCCGGTACAGTGGGTCCCCAATGCTGATGTGTGCCAGAGCCAAGTGGAGATGGATTTAGAATACATAACCCGAGCCTCACCCCCAGAAACTCTGTTTCAGGAGGTCTGGATGGAGCCCAGGTAATTATTTTAGTAGTCCAGGTAATTCTGCCAAAGGACATCTCAGGACCATGCTTGGGAACTAGTGGCCCAAAAGACAGAGCCTGCCAGGGAGCCCGAGGCTCTGTCCTGTCAGCCTTTTGGGCAGGGACTTTGAGGAGGGGGAGGGGGTAGCCAAGGATGTTTCTGCATGTGGGCAAAAATCTAAATAAAACACAGAGAAGTGAAAAATGCTGGCCCGTCAGAGACCCAGATTTGAGTCTTGACCCTCCCACATCCTGGCTGTGTGACCTTGGACAAGTGACTAAACCTGTCTGAGTCTCTGTTTCCCTTTGAGAACAATAAATACCAGGCCGAGAGGACTGTTATGAGGATTAAATACGAGGATGTGTATACAGGGCTTAGATCAAGCCTGACTCTAAGCAAATGCTTAGTAAGTGGTGCTGCTGTGGTTAATGTTATTTATTATTGTCACCAGGGAGGACTCTGACATCTGTCCTCCAGTGCCTGCCTACTGGCTCAGAGCAGGCAGCTGGGGAAGGTCTGTTGGGACAGCTCTGCTAGGATTTTGGCCTCTTTGCATCTGGGTTCCCAGGATCCTGAAGTTACTGTCCTTGCTGGGGTACACTTTGGTGAGGCTGTGCGTGCTGTGTGCACAGTGGGTATTGGGTGAGAGGCCAGAGGGCAGAGGCAACAAGACCAGTCCTAGCAATACCTACCTGGCCCTCACCCCAGGCCTTTCTCTGCAGTGGGGCTGACTTGCTTGCTGTCAACTCTGATGGGAACATGCCGTATGATCTCTGTGAGGATGAACCCACCCTGGATGTCATCGAGACGTGCATGGCCTACCAGGGTAAGAGCGCAGCAGACGCCATCAAGTGAGCTCAGGGCAGTGTTGCGTTGAGCATCTGTCTCTGAAATCGATGCAGGTGAACACATTAATTAGCAAGCTACATACCTGCCTGCCTCATGCTCAGCGCTCAGGAGATGGGGTGGGCCCCCGTTATTATTATTGTCATGTGATTAACAAGTTGAGGACACATGCTGTGCAGAAGGGAGGTATTGTTCTCTGTGTCACCCACACACACATGCGGGTGGCCTCAGCTGCACTTGTCTCCTCTTCGTCAGCTGTGACAACTCGATAAACATTCACAATAAAGATATATTCCCACTTGGGAAAATAATAAAAAAGTCAGGAACATTTGCAGGTGCCTGCCAGGCACCACACTGGGCTGCCAGAGGCCGGCATAAACAAGATGTGGGCTGTTCTCAGTCACAAATGAGCTTCAGAATGGAAACAAATGTAGCAATCAGAGGGACCTGCCTGGCTCCCCGCATGCAGACTCTGAAGCTCCTCTTCAGAAAGAAGTATCAAATCCAGACCATCACTGCAGTCCAGGGTCCTGCCCCAGGCCCTGCCCTGTTTCTTCCCAGCAATAACGCCGATTTGTGTGCTCATTCCCTGGCACCCAGATTTTAACTGTTCATCTTCTGCAGATGCTCTGAACCGTTTTTGTGCCAATCTTGTGAATCTATGGACCCCTTCTCAGAATAATATTTTAAATATGGTTATGAAAATCACAGGATTATAAAGGAAACCAACTATATTAAAATAAAGCTACCAAAATATGTTTAAATGCAGCTACAAAGGTGATTAATTCCTGAAACAATCAGATAATAAGATATGAAAATACATACAGTTTCTGTTGGTGAGAATGTCACAGGCATTGCTAATTCTACTGTGGGTTTTGCCTAGTTCTGGTGGAAGGAAATGCTCTAGTTCATTGAAAGGTTAATAAAAATAAACTTTTTTTTCTTCTTTCCAGTTTACAGACCTGCCCTTAATTCTACCCAAGAATGTTTGGCTTAATGGACCTTTTTATAGAGCATGTCACTCTGTCATTACATACTGTTCGTAGCTGCCAGTAACACTTAAACATTTTAGCAAGAGGTTCAGGCTTTAATTTTTTTTCTTTATTGATTTTTAGAGATAGAGGAAGGGAGAGGGAAAGAGAGATAGAAGCATCGATGAGAGAGAACATCGACTGGCCGCCTCCTGCATGCCCCCCACTGGGGATTAGGCCCACAACCTGGGCATGTGCCTTGACTGGGAATCGAACCAGTAACCTCTTGGTGAATGGGTTGACGTTCAACCACTGAACCACATCAGCAGGGCAAGATTCAGCCTTTAAAATGTCTTTCTGGGTCCCTCCACTTCAGTTTATTCAACTGTCCATTTGAAGGTTATACAAGAGTGGGCAAAAGTAGGTTTCTAGTTGTGAGTACATGCAACAGTTTCTTCTTGTATTATATAATTATTGTATTACTTGCATACAAATAACTGTAAACCTACTTTTGCCCACCCCAGTATATTCATTAATTCAGTCATTCCCGTAACAAAAATTCATTGAGCCTTGTGCTACAAACACAACTGTGCACAAGATGAAGGAAACTAACAGACCCTGATCAGATAGGGTGGTCAGGGGAGGGCACCTGGGGTCGGGGTGGGGTGATATGTGCCGGACCTAGAGTGTAAGACAGAGCCAGCCGTTTGGTCAGCTTGAGGTGGGTACGTGGATGGTAGGGATTTCCAGGTAGAAGAACAGCATCGTAACAGCAACTGATGTCATCACAGTGCCTGTGGGGTGCCAGGCTAGAGTGGCCTTTGTTCTGTGGGCCAGCGCATGGAACATAATGATCTGTGGGCGTGTCTGTCTACCCCTTTGACTGGCAGACCCTGGGGAGCAGAAGCCCTGTCCTCCCTAGCTGCCTCCCCTCCCCTCCCTGTTGCGGCCTAAGCCTGGGGTGCTGACCAAATCCTCCCTGCCCCCCGCAGGCATCACTCAAGAGAAAATCAACGAGATGCGGGCAGCTCCGGAGCAGCAGATGATCTCGGACATCCACTGTATGATCGCCGCGGGCCAGGACCTTGACTGGATCGATGCCCAGGGTGCCACGCTGGTGAGGACACGGGCCGGGACCAAGACCAGCTAGAGCTGAAGTGGGCCAGCACCTGGTGGAGGCCACACCTCTCCAGCTGGGGCTCTGTTTCCTCCCAGCCAGGCTTCTGCTGGCTTCCTGGCTCTCACCTCTATCTCCCGCCTTGCCTGGCAGCTGGTTTCTCTTTGCCTCTTCCCCTTCTCCATCCTTTTTCCATTCCCATGGTGCACTTTGTGATCACCGAGGGCTCTCTAAGAATGGTAATCACTTCCTGAGTGTTCATCACGTGCTGAGGATTTCCTGGGAGACTGAAATGGGGCTACTAAGGTCTGCAAGGTGGCATCCATCGTCGGAGGCCTTGAACGGGGCTGGGAATGTACTGTTACTATGGCTACATAACAAACTACCCCAAAACTCAGCATCTTAAAACAGCAAGAAGTATTTATTATCTCACATTGTTTCTGTGGGTCAGGGAATTGGGAACAGTTTGACTGGGCGGCTCCAGCTTGGGGTCTTTTATGAGATGGCAGTGAAGAGGTCAGCCAGGGCTGCTGTCGTCTAAAGACTTAACTGGGGCTGCAAGACCTGCTTCCACGGTGGCTGGCAAGTCCTTGGGACTTCTCTTGAGGGCCACTTGGGTGTCCTCACAACTTGATGGCTGCCTTCTGTAGTGTGATTGATCCAAGAAAGCATATGGTAGAAACAGCAGCACCTTTTATTTATTTAACATTTGTCTATTATTATTTTTTCTTTATTGATCTTTAGAGAGAGAGGAAGGGAGAGGGAGAGAAAGAAACATTGATGAAAGGGAACATTGAGTGGCCACCTCCTGCATGCCCCTCCCTGGGGATTTGGCCCACAACCTGGGCATGTGCCCTGACCAGGAATCGCACCAGCGACCTCTTGGTGCATGATCAACGCTCAGCCACTGAGTCACACCAGCTGGGCACAATACCTTTTATGGCCTAGCCTCAGAAATCACACACTGCCCCCTCACAATATCCTATTTGTTAGAAGCTAGTCACTCAATTTGGTCCACGTGGTCCTCACTCAGGGAAGAGGAATTAAGCTCCATCCTTATTTTTTTTATCCTCACCTGAGGACATTTTTCGATATTTTGTTCAGATAGAGTGGGAGGGAGAGAGAGAGAGAAACATCAATGTGAAAGAAACACATCGAGTGGTTGCCACCCACACGACCCAACCAGGGCTGGGGACAAACTGCAACTGAGGTACGTGCTCTTAGCGGGAACCGAACCCGGGTCTCTCTGGACCGCAGGCCGACGCTCTAACCACTGAGCCAAACCGGCCAGGGCAAGCTCCATCCTTTAAAGAGAGATGCATCAAAGAATTTGTAGACAGCCCTGGCCGGTTTGGCTCAGCGGTTGGAGCATCGGCCTACGGACCAGAGAGTTCGGGTTCGGTTCCTGCTAGGGTCATGTACCAAAAAAAAAAAAAGAATTTGTAGACATAGTTTAAAACTGCCATATTGGACCCCGGGACCTCTTCCACAGGGATCAGTGTATAGTAGGGTCTCAGTAAACACTGTTGCCTTGACCACAGGAGCTCTGTGACCAACCCCAGGGGAGAAGAGCTCACCTCTCTGCCTTTTCTTCAAGGTCCATATTGCAGATGTAATCATTCTCTGCAATGTGGCTGATATTTCCACCTCATTCTGCTCCACTCTCCTGGGACTCGGGTCAGGGAGAGGGCTAGCCCATCTCCACATGTGGGACCGACCTCCCTTAGGGAATGCTCACTTCTTTCCTCTGCTTCAGCTGCATATAGCTGGAGCCAATGGATACCTGCGAGCAGCGGAGCTCCTCCTGGACCACGGAGTGCACGTGGATGTGAAGGACTGGGATGGCTGGGAGCCCCTGCATGCGGCTGCCTTCTGGGGACAGGTAGTTCTCACCCCAGCGCTGTGGGAAAGGCCAGCGCAGGATCAACCTGCTGTCCTTTGGTATAGTAGTTTGTTCAAAAGAACGCAAGACCCACGTGAGGTGTTGAATGCAGCTAGTATATGGGCTACGAGAACACCTAGGGAGTTTGCAAAAACATTTGACAAGTTGTATTCTAACAGGATGATGATTAAATTTGCCAAATTAGAAAATCCCAGGGTTTCTGCTTTGAGTGTTTCTCCATTTGTTTCCCAGATACAAAACCCTGGTGGCGGTTTTGGCAGTCCCTCCACAGACACCTGGCAGCCCTAGAGTTACAGCTGACCCCCTTTTCTTCTGTCCCTTGGTCCAGGCATACTGGGGGTGGTGTCAGTCCATTGCATCCCAGGATTCCTGGCCCCCGGGTTCAAAGCCTTCCCTGGGAATCAACGTTCTTTGGGCCAACCATTCTTTGGGTCACATCCCAAGAGGCCTTGGACGTTCTTTCTGCCTCCTAGGCTCTCTGAGCCTGGGCAGTGGGAACATGGGCTTCTCCCTGTGTTTCAGATGCAAATGGCAGAGCTGTTGGTGTCCCATGGGGCCAGCCTCAGTGCTAGGACATCCATGGATGAAATGCCAATAGGTAAGTCCAGCACAACACCTGGTACACACATAGGCTTTCATCAATTTTTTGAAGGGCAGAGGGATAAATGGATGAATATATGGTTTGATAGATGCCGGATTGGTGTGTAGAAGAATAAATGAATGAATTAATTAATTAATAGATGATAAATTAATAGATAAATAGATGGATAGATAAATATATGGATAAGTGGATGGATTATGGATGGAGTATGAAATATGGATGGATGGATGGATGAATGGATGGATGGATATGAGGATGGGTGGGTAGAGGACTAACCTATAGGTGGATGACTGGGTCACTGAAAAGGTAGATAGATGAATGAAAGAATTAGGTGGGTTGAGTATATAAGATTTTAGCATCTTGACCTGGCCAGTTTGGTTCAGCGGTTGAGCGTCGGCCATATGGACCAGAGAGTCCTGGGTTTGGTTCCCGCTAGGGGCATGTACCACACACACACACACACACACAAAATATATATATATATATTTTAGTATCTTTGTATAACTTCTTGCTTGGGCTACATGGTACCTGCTTGTTTCTTTCTATTTTTTGTTGTTAATTTTCACCCAAGGATATTTTTTCCATTGATTTTTAGAGAGTGGAAGGGAGGGAGGGAGTGGAGAGAGAGAAACATCAATGTGACAGAAACACATCGATTAGTTGCCTCCCGCATGTGCTCTGACGGGGGGCCAAGGATCAAACCTGCAACCTAGGTACGTGCCCTTGACTGGGAATCAAACCCACAACTCTCTGGTGTGTGGGCTGATGCTCTAACCACTGAGCAGCACCAAACAGGGCAGTACCTGCTTGTTTCTATTGATACTTCTTGTGTCGGGGGAGAGTTGATAAGTCCTACTAGAAAGTATCAAAGGTGCATGACTCCTTCAGTCATAGCTGGGAACCTCAGGAGTTGTGACCATGTATGGAACCTGGGTTTTCCGTTCTTATTCTTCTCGAAGGACTGGGCTGTAACCCAGGACATAAGGGTGACATTGTTTTCTCCTCTCCCTGCATGCCCCAAAGGGTGCTGGGAGTTTTCAGTCAGTGGGAGGACAGCTCCCCTGATCTGGAGGGCTCTCGGGGACCACCAGCTGCCTCCCCCAAGAGACTCCTCTGCCCTTTCAGACCTGTGTGAGGAAGAGGAGTTCAAGGTCCTGCTGCTGGAGCTGAAGCACAAGCACGATGTGATCATGAAGTCCCAGCTGAGGCACAAGTCGTCCTTGAGCCGGAGAACATCCAGCACAGGCAGCCGTGGGTGAGTCAGGGGCCGGGCAGCCAGGGGTCCCCATGCGTGCTCCTGCCCGTGGTGCCCGGATGCAGCCTCCAGCACCCCATCTGTCCCTGCAGGAAGGTGGTACGTCGAGCCAGCCTGTCGGACAGGACCAACCTGTACAGGAAGGAGTATGAGGGCGAGGCCATCCTCTGGCAGCAGCGGAGTGCGTCTGAGGATCAGCGGACCTCAGCCTACAACGGGGACATCAGGGAGACCAGGACAGACCAGGAGAATAAGGACCCGGTGAGTGGCCCAGTGGCAGCCGTAGGCGGAGGACAGGGCCCCAGCCTGGTCTGGCCTCTTCACCTGAGAGCCTTCAGAGGGAGGTTAGCTGGGGAGGGCCCTTAAACCAGCTGAATCAAGTCTGGTGGTGGTGGCTACTGTGGTTCATGAGGCCAGAGCCGGGGGCCTTGGCACTCAGCAGGTTCTCATCATCGACGGGGAGGGAGTGAGCACCGTGCCTGCTCGTGCTCTGGCAGATCTGATCCCGGGCTTCCCAGAAAAGGGTTTCAGTAGGGCGGCCACCCCGGCAGTTAAGGACACTAAAACCCCCAGGGGATGTGCTAGTGGTGTCCTAGGCTGCTGTAACAAACTCTGCCTCAGTCGTCACATGGCCGTCTTCCTCGTGTGTGTGTCTGTCTCCGTTTTCTCTTATTAGAAAGACACCAGTCATTGAATTTGGGGCCCACCCTAACCCATTACGACCCCCATCTTAATCTCATTCTATCTGCAAAGATCCTACTTTCAAATAAGGTCACATTCAGAGATACGGGGTGGACAGTGTCACTCTCAGATTTGGGGGGACACTATTCAACTGAGCGCCGAAGAACTCAGGTCCATGCCTGGCTGTGTCTGCTGAGTGGGGCGGAAGTGTGGGGCCAGAGCAGAACTGCTGGAGACCAGAGGCCCACGGGACCCGCAGTGGTCTGCCCCCTTTGGTTCCACCACCACACAGTGAGCCGCCGAAAGCATTTCTAGGGAGTACTGCTTTGGCGGGATGCAAAGTGATTAGTTGCCCAGCGTGCACACACATCTCAAGGGGACCCTGCTTCCCTGGTGAGCAGGGAGGTCACATGTGGGCCTGTCTCAGCAGCAGGACTGGTGGTGCCTATGGAAGGGAATCCCCATCAGAGTAGCTGGCTGGGATGACGACAACTGGGAGGCTTTGTCCCATCTAGTCCCCAAGCTTGGGGACAGGGAGAAAAGAGTTGTAGGCAGAAATCAAATCACATTTTAGATGCCTCCAGCTCTGCTCTATTTTTTATTTATTTAAACATTTTAATATAGTTTTATTGATTTTAGAGAGAGAAAGGGAAAGGGAGAGAGAGATGCTGCCTCCTGCATGCCCCTCACTGGGGATGGAGCTGGCAACCCAGGCATGTGCCCTGACAGGGAATCGGACCCTCAGCCAACTGAGCCACACCAGCCAGGGACATGCTTTATTTATTTTTATTTGTGATTTATGCATTTCTTGGAGATCCCTGGAATTCTAAGTCAGCACATGGAGACTGCCTTCATTCTTAGCTGCAGAATATTCCATAAAAACATGCCATTTGCCTGTCAGTGAGGCTTAGTGGTTGAGCGTCAACCCATGCAAGAGGTCACCAGTTTGATTCCTGGTCAGGGCACATGCCCACATTGTGGGCCCAATCCCCAGTGCGGGGCATGCAGGAGGTGGCCAATCGATGTTCTCTCATTGATGTTTCTCTCTCTCTCTCCCTCCCCCTTCCTCTCTCTCTCAAATTAATAAAGAAAAAAATTTTTTAAAAAACAAAACACGCGCCCTGGCCGGTTTGGCTCAGCGGTTAGAGCATCGGCCTGCGGTCCGGAGAGACCCGGGTTCGGTTCCCGCTAAGGGCATGTACCTCGGTTGCAGTTTGTCCCCGGCCCTGGTTGGTTGTGCGGGTGGCAACCACTCGATGTGTCCCTTCACGTCGATGTTTCTCTCTCTCTCTCTCTCTTCCTCTCTCTCCCTCCCACTCTATCTGTGCAAAAAATGGAAAAAATGGAAAAATGTCCTCGGGTGAGGATAAAAAACAAACAAACAAACAAACAAAAAAACAAAACACGCCATGATTTCTCACCTGTCTAATGAGGGCTTTAAGGCTTTGCTGTCCTGGGGAGTGTATCTGAAACAAAGTCCTGGAAATGAGCTTGCAAAGGATTCATTCATCTTTAGAAACAAATTTTTTCAGCTGCTGTGACCTTGACCTCCAAGGAGACTGGCAGTTTCCATGCCTTCCTATTCCCCATACCCTTGCCAGCACTGAGTAACATCACTTTAAAAACAATTGTCAATGTGATCGGCAAAATTTTTGTTGTTTTAATTTTTGTCATTAATTATTAGTAAGGTTGATTATTTTAATTTTTTCCTGTGTTTTCATGCTGTATTTTGCCCTGAGCTGTATATTAGTGTTTTTTGTCCATTTTTTCTTCTGGGTGGTGGGGCTTTTATAAATGAACTTTTAAGAGCTCTTTATTTATTTGGGAAATTAGTCCTTTTCTGTCATATATGTTGCAAATATCATTCCAGTTTTGTCATGTACCTTTTGACTTTGTTTATGGTGATTTTTGCTAGGTTTTACATTTTTGTTATTGTCACATGTATCAACCTTTTCATTTATAGTTTCTAGGCAGCTCTAGTTGCCCAGGGATTTCCGGGTCAGAGGCCCTCTGGGCAGGAGCCTCTGCTGTTCGGAGTGGCGATATGCTGGGAACACAGAGGAGGGCTTGCAGGCGACCAGAACCCCCGCTGAGGTCGACTCCTGTGACAGGAGTTTACCAGTCACGTAACTGGGGAGTCTGGGCCCAGCTGGGTCCAGGGGCTGAATGCAGTCATCAGGACGCATTCTCTCTCTCTCTCCCTCCGTCTTCCTTGGCGTCAGCCTCACTGTCAAGCAGGCCCTTAGACATAGCATCTCCCCAGCCCCTAACTTGTGTCATTGTCACCACCCAAATGCCTACACAAACAGAACTTCTCTTCCCAGTCGTTCTAGCAAAAGGCCCAGGGTTGCGTTTCACCAAACCAGTTTCAGTCAAGAACCCATCCCTGAGCCAGTTCCTGTGGTGTATGTGTGGGCTGTCCAGGCCTGGGGTCTGGGGCCAGCCCTTGGGGCAAGGATGGGGGTTGGTCAGCCCTACTAGAACACATTGACTGGTGAGTTCCCCGAAGCAAAATGGAGGTCCTGTTACCCAGGCAGGGAAACTGGATGGGGTCAGGTCCAGACAATCAGGCCCTCAGCGGAGGTGCGCATGGGGAGCGGGTTCAGATCCTCCAGCCAGCTGGTGATGTTGTCCTTTCACTCTCAGAACCCCCGGCTGGAGAAGCCCGTGCTGCTCTCTGAGTTTTCTACCAAGATCCCACGGGGTGAAATGGACATGCCTGTTGAGAACGGGCTCCGGGCTCCGGTCAGCGCCTACCAGTATGCACTGTCCAATGGGGATGTCTGGAAAGTGCACGAGGTGCCCGACTACACCATGGTCTACGGCAACCCCGCAGTGGCTGACGCCACCCCGCCCTGGAGTGGCTACAAGGAACAGAGCCCCCAGACGCTTCTGGAGCTGAAGCGACATCGGGCTGCAGCCAAGCTGCTCAGCCACCCCTTCCTGAGCACCCACCTGGGCAGCGGCATGGCCAGGACGGGCGAGAGCAGCAGTGAAGGCAAGGCCCCCTTGATCGGAGGCAGAACTTCACCCTACAGCAGCAATGGGACCTCGGTGTATTACACGGTCACCAGCGGAGATCCCCCCCTCTTGAAGTTCAAGGCCCCCATTGAGGAGATGGAAGAGAAGGTCCATGGCTGCTGCCGCATCTCCTAGTCTCCATGTGACAGAGGAGGGAGATGCTCTGGGGAGGGGGGTCCCTGGGTTCCAGGCCAGCAGTCCTGTCCAGGGAGGCTTCAGAGGGCAACTGGGGGGGAGATGAGCTCTGCTTTCCAGGGGAATGCTGACCCCACCTCTCAGCCAGCTGCCCCCGGCATCACCCCTTCCCACGGTCTGCTTCCTGCTGCATTGTCTGCCATCAGAATCAAGGCCCCTCGCGGCTTCCTGACTCACCCTGCTGTCTGATTTTGGGAGGGAGGGCTGGACTCCAGTTCTATTGTTGGTAAAGGCTTCTCTGGACCAGAACTCACATCACACACACACACACACACACACACACACACACACACACACAGTATGAATGACAATTGGGCTCATGGGAAGCAGGTGGGACAGAGAATTTGTGCTCCATTACGGAGAGGACTGAGGTTAAGACTCAAGAGTTTTGTCACCACTGCCAATGTGCTTTAGCAGGAGAGGGGGCCTGCTAAGCTGAGACCCATAGTCCTGCCCAGAGTCCTGTCTGGGTCTGGGCCACCATCCATATCTGACTGGAGCAGGAAGTCCTCTCTGTGTTCAGAGGAAGCCATGAACCCACATGAGTAGATGGAATGGACACAGGCCTGCTCCCCACAGCCATGCCCATGCCAAGGGCCAGCTGTGACCCCCCAGGGGCCAAGGTAGCAAACCAGGCTATTCCATTCCTGGAATGATCCAAATCACATTTTGTTCGTGGGTAGAAGCATCAAAAAGTGGAGGGGGGAACAGAGTCAGTATTTCCAAAAGTGCATTTGCTAAAAAGATTATCTAAGGCTGTGAAATCCAGGCGGGAGGGAACTGGGTTTGACTGCTGTCATGGAGAATGTCATGATCACTAGGTTTTACTGACTTGTGCTGGGAAAATGAACTTCAGGGAGCAGCTTCAGCTGGAAGGGCTTCTCCAAGGAGAGGGGTTAATTCATGCTGGTAATTTCTCAGCCAGCCCTCCTCAGACTGAGCCATCAGAGGGAGGGGCTGCTGGGGCCCCCCACTCCCAGAGTGAATGGTCAGGGCCCCAGGCCCTGCTTTACCTTTTCTGGAATGCTCAGTGAGACAAGTTGCCGGTTGGCCCTTGTGAGTTCCTGCCTGGCCCAGGGGCTCCCAGACGGCTCCTGCCGGAATGGTGACACCCCAGAGCTGCAGATGCAAGGAGCCCATGGCCAACACCCTGACCTGCATTCAGTAGAGCAGTGGTGGGGCTGGAGTTGGGTCTCACCCCAGCTCTACAACTTCATAGCCCCAGCCTCCCTGGGGAGGTGGACACGGGCCTGCTCCCCACAGCCTCGCCCATGCCTGGGCCAGCTGTGTGACCACCCATCAATTCTCCCGAGGGGCAGGTGCCCACCCCCTCTCCACTGCATTCTCTCACGAGCCCATGCGTTGGGCACTGTCCACTGGCTCAGCTAAAACCTATTGGTGTAACTAATGAGTAGGCTTGTTCCCTGCTCTGTGCGCCTTTTATTTGTCCTAAAACTACCTCCTTAGAGCTCTGCAGGTGCCCCCTAGATCCAGATTCTGTAATATGGGGGACAAATCTGGGTTCCCTTTAACCCTCTTCTTTCTGAGCCTATGAAAAATTCTCCCAGGGGGCACCTGGGCCAGGGGGCTGTGGCTGGAGAAGTTCCCCTTGTACCAACCACAGCCTTAGTAACGGGTCTGCTGTTTGTCAGTCCTAGCCCCCACTGTGGCCCCCACAGCCATCCATAGCCTAGAGAGGGAGCTGGCTTCGGCCTGCCTGATGCTTTACCAGGAGTAGGTGACTCTTGGATGCAGGGAGGGTCACAGCACCAGGCCACCCCCACCCCAACTCCAGGACAATTCCAGTCTAGGGTGGAGGGGCAGGTCAGGAAACTGCAGACAAGTGTGTGTGAGGCCTCCTATGTCCCTGGAGTCTAAGGTGGGCTCTCCGTCATCTCAGCCTATGGCTGGAGCAGGGCAGGGATGATCTACAACACACATACCTTTGGCTTTAAAACAGTGTTCAGATTAGACTAACACTGGAATTTCTCTTGAGCCAACTTAAGCTGCAAACTGGGGAGTACCGAGGGAAGCCACACCCCTCAGGAGAGAGCTGTGCAGGTTGGGTCTGTTTGCTCAGGGCCTGGAGACTGAAGGCGTTTCCTGTCCACTCTAAGCTCTCTGGCCATTCCCTCCTCCCCCCTTGCTTCCTTCCTCCTGGGCCCTTCCTCTCCATCCAGAAGGCTGGGAATCCCGCCGATTCCCCAACAGCAGCCAACTGAAGACTCTTGAGCACAAGCTCATCTTTTCAGTCAGGGATAAACCATTCCCTGTTGGGGCTTCAAGTACCTGGGGTACTTTTCCTGTAGGTCTCTTGGGTGCTGGAGGACACGCTGGGGCCAAGGTCATCCATTTATCCACTCGTGTAGTTTATTGAGTAGTTGTGACATACCAGGCACTATGTTAGGTTCTGGGGATAAAGAAGAAACAAGATTGAGGAGACTGCTCTTTATGGTTTTCATCTCTTGAGGGCCATGGATGTCAGCAGCAGCCCATTCAGTTCATCTGAGATAAAGTGACTGCATCCTGGTCCAGCATCCCTTTGCTCTTCTGCTCCTAGACTCCCTAGAATATGAATCTCTTTAGCCAGGAGATAGCTGTCGACCAACCCTAGATGACATTTGCCATTAAATGCAGAAGCTGGATCTTGGGTTCCAGGCAGATACCATCCCAAGCCTATTTGGAGCTCTCAGGGTTCCTAGCTGCCTTCCGGCCAGCATCTTTGAGGCACTATATAATAGCAGTTTAGGTCAGTATGCGGAAGAATAAGGAGTCTGCAGTTTGCTGCCAAATGCATCTCAGGTTTGTAAACTCATTGTCTCTTGCTCATGTCTGCTATTATGTAGACATCCTGCCCCACCAATGGATAATGGGAGGACAAAGAGCTTCTCCTTTAACACGAATCTGCCTCTCTTCCGAGCAGGTATGGATCAAAGAGCTGGGACAATGCTGGCAAGGTTGACCAGATGCCCAGCTCCTGCTGCGACTTAGGTCTGGTGGCAGTTCCTGGCAGATTGAAGGAAGTTACTTCCAAAGCAGGTGCCACATGGCTCACTGTGAGCCCTGGCCCTTGCTCCCATCCTATGCCCCAGACCATTGAAAATTGATGGCTATCACCAGATAGTGAGTTTCTGGCCAATAACTCAGGGAAGCTGAATGAACCCTAGATCCAAGTCTACTAAAGACTTCAGGATGTAACTGATGAAACTGCTCTGCACTGTTTGATCAATTTAAGTGGATGTAAACAAGGGTATGTCCCCTGTCCTATCCCACCACAGTTTGCTGGCTTTGTAGTAACATAAGACTGTTTGGGTTATTGGTGTCAGATACCTTTTGATCTTGAGCTCTCTCTTCCACCTGCTTTCCCAGAGCAGGATCCTGGGGCACTTCCCAGAAGGCGCTCCTTATAGATGCTCAGAAGGACTATATTTAACTCTTGCTATTTTAGCCCAGGGGACAGCTTCCCCTCCCCCAGGGCACATAAGAGCAAAGGGTCATGTGGTCAGTGGATAACTCCACAGAAGTGATCCCTTTTCCACAAGCTATAGCCCTGTACTTGATAGGAGTCTCCTGCTGGCCATTTGGCCAGAAACCTGCTTCCCATGGGCATGCAAGTGCCATAGCGCGGGGCCTGGCTCTGCGCACCCAGGAAAAGTCTGCAGACCCCCAGCCCTCCGCAATAATTCACCAGACCAGAAGCCACTGATGTACAGAGAACACAAGAAAAATGTATTTTATGTGAAAAAAGTTAAAACTCTGTATACTGTATCAACAGCTTTGTGTAAAAATGGCAATCAAGAGAGTCTAATATATTTAAAACTTTTTTAAAAAAAAAAAATCCTTGCAGATCTTTGATATTGTATTGAAGTAACTTTCAGGTAACTCCTCGCCATGGGGCAGTGGTGGGCCTCGTGCCCAAGACCATGGCCCCAGCACATCCCAAAGGGGCATGCCCCTGGAGTGGCTTCCAGCTGCCAAGGCCTGTGATGGAATTCGCTGTTGAGTTTTTAATTAAGATTATTAAATTCCTTTTAATAACACCTGTTAGTGTGGCTGTGGTCATTGCCATGAGCGCTCTTGAACTGTGTTGAGTTGAATTCACAAAGAGGTGACGCCTGGGATAGAAGATGGGGAATCCCCCCTGCCACCACACAGAAGACTCTCCCAGGAGGCCCCTTAAGCAGAGGGAGCTCTGAGGTCTCAGATATGGAGCGGGTGTCTCTCTAGACTGGGAGATGATGAAACCCAGTGGATTCAAGAAAAGATGAATGATTGAGAATGACCTGCACTCTGTCAGTTTCCTTTGGAATTAGCATGGAGTCCTACAATAGGTCACCCTTTCAAAGGTCTGTCTGATGACATATGTATATGTAACAAGGCTGCTCCTCTGTTCTGTTCTGGGACTGAAGTGCACTGACCTGTTTTATCCTCTTGCCCCCATCCCACACCAATCCTTTTCCTCATTTAGCTTATAGTGAGGAGGTAAAATGCTATATACTACTTCACTTTATTACAACACAGCAGCTGAGACCCTGGTTATTCTGGCTTTTCCCTCAGGCAAGAGAGGCGTTGACAAGTTATGTGGTCACACAGCCCCAGACCATGGACCTTGTCTTTGTCATTCTCAGACATTTGTTGGTATCTCAGAAGAAGATGGAAAGAGTGCTTTCTTGGACCCTTCTGGACAATGGATGCCAGAGCAGGGACACAGGAAAGGCTGCACCCTTGGGCTTGAAAAGCTTCACAAACAGGGTGGGGATGGGGAGAGGATGGGAAGAACAGTGGCAGCTTTGCAGCCTGGGGCATCCATCCATTTAAATAGTTTATTGGTTTCTAAATAATAATGGTAACCTCTTACATTTAGGAAGCACTTTACAGTTGTACATTTGGTCTCTCATTTACACACAGAAAGTGAGGCCTGAAAATTGACTCTTGGATTTAACACTGGAGCTCATGATGACCTTGATAAGAGGTTTTGGTAGAACAAAGGAGGCGTAAGCTTGATTGGACAGGGTTTAAGAGAGAATGGGAGGAGAACAAGACAGCAAGTATACACAACTCACTTGAGGTTTTATGCTATCAAAGTGAGCAGAGAAATGGGGAGGAAGAAATGTAGGATTAAGAGAGGGTTGTTTTAAGATGAAAAACATTTCAGCATGTTTGGATGCTGATAGGAATGAACTAGTAAAGAGGGGAAATGGCCCTGGCCAGTTTGGCTCAGCGGTTGGAGTGTCAGCCTGCGGTCCAGAGAGACCGGGGTTCGGTTCTCGCTAAGGGCACGTACCTCGGTTGCAGTTTGTCCCTGGCCCTGGTTGGGTCATGCGGGTGGCAACCACTCAATGTGTCCCTTTCACATCAATGTTTCTCCCCCTCTCTCTCCCTCCCACTCTATCTGAACAAAAAATGGAAAAAAATGTCCTCGGGTGAGGATTAAAAAAAAAAAAAAGAAGGGAAATGAAAAAAGAAGGGAAATGGATGACCTGGGAGAGAGGAGACAATTGCTGGAGAGATAGATATAGGTTAGTAGAGGGGCTAGCAGCTAGGGCCCAAACGGAAATGTCAGTTGATCAATAGTAACAGAAGGCCCAGTATGTAGGAAGAGATGAGGATGGGTAGTTAGATGTGGTGAGAGCAGGTGGAAGTTCTCTCTGATTGCTTCTATTTTCTCAGTGAAATAGGAAGCAAATGAAGAATAAGAAAGAGGAAAAGATAGAATGAAGGAGGGAAAAGTAGGCTAGCAGGCACTTGAGATCATAAATTTAAGGCACAACCAGCCAGCCTGGTTGCGTTTTCTTTTCCCCAGTACTGTACGGCTGCTCAGGTGCAGGTGGAAAGTAAGTGGAGAGTGGGTTGGAGTTTTGCCAGGCAAAACCCCATGAAGTGAGAGAAGAGGAAGCGACCTGAGTGGGTATTATGATGGACCGTTATTTTGGAAGGAATGAACGAATGATTAAATGCAGGAGATAAAGGCGACATGGTTGGTCACGCCAAGCTCTGAGCACCCAGGTGCAGTGCGGTCCCGGGAGCTGGCGCCAGCCTCTCCTCCACGTGCCTAGGTTTGACAGCTCCGGGCCTTGTAGGGCGGGCCGGCAGGGGGCGCGCTACGACGGCAGGGGCTGGGCTCTCGGGCTTCAGTTCGGGCTCCGCTGCCTGCGTGCGCCGCCGGACCGTGGGGCCAATCAGGCCCGTCCCCTCTTTAGCGGACTGGGAAGAGTTCGGTGCCCGCAGGACCCGAGCAGTACGTCGGGGCAGGACAGAATCACGAGAGAGGAGCAAACGGATTTTCAAAGAAACACTGAAAAACCAACCGTTTTTGTGTTGTTTTTGTCTAAAACCTTATTTTAACATTTTAATACTACTTTGTAGAAGCTATTTAAACTGGAGAAATTCGGTTTAAAAAACAAAAACAAAAAAAACCCCACCAGAATCATCAATATTAAATTCTATGAAGCAACCCCAGAACGAAAGCCAGGGCGGGACCGCAGCCAGCCGCCAATGAGGAGACGCGGGGCGGGGCCTGGCCTGGGGCAGCCAATGCACGTCAAGGGGCGGGCCGTAGCGGTATACCCTGCATCCGAACTCATGCCGTTAGGAGAGAATAGCCAATGGGAGAGCCAGGGCGGGGCGGCGCGGCCAATGGCGCGGGCCGGTTTGATTCAAAGGGCCTATAAAAGTGGCCCGCATGTCCGCATTCTCCCCGAGCCTGGTCGGGTCGGAGCGCCGCTATGGCTTTGCTGCGTGAGGGACTGGACGAGCTGCCCGCCGCCTGCCTGTCGCCGTGTGGGCCGCCCAACCCCGCCGAGCTGTACAGCGAAGCGCAGCGCCTGGCGCTGGAGGAGCTGCTGGCGGGCGGCCCCGACGCCTTCGCGGCTTTCCTGCGACGCGAGCGCCTAGGTAGCTTTCTGAACCCCGACGAGGTGCGAGCCATTCTGCGCTCGGCCGAGCGGCCCCGCGAGGAGGGCGCGGCGGCGGCGGAGGTCGAGGACTCCTTCGGCTCGTCGCACGACTGCTCGTCCGGCACGTACTTCCCTGAGCAGTCGGACCTGGAGCCGCCGCTGCTGGAGCTCGGCTGGCCGACCTTCTACCAGGGCGCCTACCGCGGCGCCACGCGCGTCGAGGCGCACTTCCAGCCCCGCGGCGCGGGCGCGGGCGCCGGCGGCCCCTATGGCTGCAAGGACGCGCTGCGCCAGCAGCTCCGCTCCGCGCGAGAGGTGAGTGGCCGAGACCGGCCCCTCGGGACGCCTCGGTCCTCGATCGGACGGGAGACTCTCTTCAAGGATGGGAAACAGGCCTCTTGGGAGCACCGGGCCGGTGGCCCCGGGGCCCCGACTCGCCCCACCCTGCGTATCACCCCTCGCATTCCTGATCTCCCAGCCTCTCCTCCTGGTAGGGGAGTGGGAGGAGTCTCCGTCGCCAAAAAATGGGAATTGTGCCGGAGTTCCAACTCCTAACATTGACATCCCCTGGAAAAGAGGACCAGAAATACTTCCAGTTTCAAATTTTAGGTAAACCAAACCAGATTGCCAGTTTTCCTGGCTGTCAGCCAACACTAGATCCCACTTGCAGGGCCTTCTTAAGAGCTACTTTACTTAAGTATCTCATTACCTAGGGAAAGTTCCTGAAAGATTGTCCCCAGAGACAACTCTGGAGCATTAGGAATCTGTTACTGCTGGGCACCTCCACGTGTCTTTTGTAGTAAAAAGCAAACACGTAAAAGGGTGGTAGTACATGCACAATGTGGAGGGAAAGTTGCTCCTGTGAGTTGGTGGGGCAGGGGGTTGCTTTTCCATAGGCTGGGCGATGCCCTAGTTAGTGGCTTCCTAAAATGCAGACCCTCTGCATTAGGCTGACTCTGCACAGCGGGTGTTGGTGCAGTTGTCTGACTCTGTAACATGGTATTGGGGTGTGGTGAGAGGTCTTGTCTTGCCAGCCAGGATGAGACTGCAGCAGGGTGCTGGGTACCTGGGGGTCAGGGAGGAAGAATGCAGCACACGAGGTAGGTAGAGCAGGTTCCGTATGGAGGTAGACACCTTAGTCCAGAGCCATGGTCAGCTGCCACCTTGCTTGCTGACCAGCAGTGCTCACCTTCCCAGCTGTCTCTGCCATGAACGTGGCAGTAAAGCCCTTGGCCATGGTAAGACTTGCTAGGGGTGATGCTTGAGCATGACTGTGGGTTATGATATCTGTACACCAAGTCTAGTTGAAAGAGCCAAGTCTAGGAACATGCCCCGTCTCCTAGTGTTCCGGAAGCTAGCAGTTCTTTGCCTGATTATGGGGTTGTATCCCATAGGCTCTATGGCATAGGGGATATAATAGGCTAGTGCCTTGCCTTTGGGAGAGTAGATGGGGGCTCCAGTTAGGCCAGTGTCAGCCCTGCAGTGCTTCGGGTATGCTGAGGGTTCTTTTGATGCAGCAGACATTTGTGGATTCAACGAGAGATTAAAAACATGGGAAAAGGCTCTATTGTGGGGTAGGTGTGCATTCCCAAAGCTTACCTCTAGGACGAGAACCTGGGCACTTGGAACTTGAGAAAAGTAATGAATGGGTCTCCCAAAAGAGAGTGATTGCCCTCACCTCATGCTCAGCTCTAATTTTTAGTGGTAGTGAAGGGGCACTGGAGCTAACAGCAGAGGAAAAACTGCCTATAAACTCTTAGGCTAGCTTTAGAAGGGACTTGAGGCTGGCGCTCGCTCAGACTCTGCTTTGTCCTGGGCATTGTGTAATGCTGACATTTCTGGGTACAACCTCCTGTCCTGTTCTGTGCCCTACTCCATCCACACACTCATACTTTTTTTTTCTTTTTCTTTTTGGTATGTGCCCCTAGCGGGAACCGAACCTAGGACTCTCTGGTCTGCAGGCCGACGCTCCAACCGCTGAGCCAAACCGGCCAGGGCCACACTCATACTTTTGAGATTCTGTATTTGGAACCTGGGTGATTTTAACTGATAACAGTGGGACAGTACCTTTAAATTCGATAAGTATTTTCAGCATT